TAACTAAAACAGTAACTATAACGATAGCTATATTAACGTCCACTCCAACGGTCGATAGTTTTGTTGTCTGCCGCTTTAAAGCCCCGTTCACACCAAGAACGATAACCGTTAAGGTAACTAAAACAGTAACTATAACGATAGCTATATTAACGTCCACTCCAACGGTCGATAGTTTTGTCGTCTGCCGCTTTAAAGCCACGTTCACACCAAGAACGATAACCGTTAAGGTAACTAAAACAGTAACTATAACGATAGCTATATTAACGTCCACTCCAACAGTCGATAGTTTTGTCGTCTGCCGCTTTATAGCCCCATTCACACCAAGAACGATAACGTTAACTATATTAGCGTCCACACCAACACACGATAACACTGTTTATTATAAGCACGCACTGCAGTTTTGTCATCTGCCGCTTTAAATGCTCAAGCGCTTTAAAGCAGGATGGATTCTGATTGGCTGTCAGTGTTTTAATCGTTCATCTGCTGGAAAAATCGTTCTGAACATATCGTTCCTCTGTCGTTATCGTTATAATTGTGATGTGTCTTTGTTCATATAGAATTAGAACAATTTTAAAAACTTTATAGTTATTGTTATAGTTATCATCAAGTGTGAACGGACACCCTTCTTTTTTACGGAATATAAAAAAAACTCGCACATTGGCTAGCAAAGTTTTTTCGGCTGCGAAAGAGTCTCTTGCTTTCAACTTTAATCTTATCTGATGTGTATTTTTTGTGACCGTAATAGATATTGCATCGTCTTTCATTTTTGTTACGATGGGTGGCATCAAAGATAAAGTGCAATAGCGCCACCTACTGTGTTGGAGTATATTCATCTGATATTATTGTTTAATGTGTAGTATTAACAGTATCAGTATTTAATTTTTTATATATCAGTTACCCTTATATTGTGACACCCCGAGTGGAGAACTTAATTTTTTGTCTTTACATCATATTTAATTAATATTATTTACATAGTATATAACGTTTATTAATTGTGGTGCTAGTTGGAGATCTAAATAAAGCACAACCAAACTAATTTTGTAGTTTAATCATATTTACAGTTTACTACATAAAAAGTGATCATATGATACTAGTTTACAATTTACTAAATACTGTGTAACACTACATGCGGCCTACAATTCATCGGTACACGTTTTGCAACGATAGTCGTTTCAATCAGTAGTTGTCACGTGACCTTATCACTGAAGTGCATTGCATTGTGGGATACAGTATTCTATCCAGTAGGCTCTGTTGTGTACTGGACATTTTCACTTTAATCGCTCCAGTGAAATTCTCTTTTGTGGCCTCATGGAATAGTAAAGTGTCTGTGCACTGAAGAACCTCAGCATAAGTAGTAGCCCAGATAGCACATGTACGTCTGCAAGATGTCTGTTAAAGATATCTTGATCTGGAAAGCATCTGCTGTGGACAAACATCTAACAGACGTCTTTCAGATGTCAGTTTTACATACATTCTAAATCATAAACATCTTAAAGACATCTAATAGACGTCTATTTGACATCTGATAGGAAATGTCCTATAGACGTATTGCAGATGAGCAAACACTAAAAAATACGTCTTGCAGATGTAAATGCAGACATCAAATAGATATCTCCGAGATGTATGTGTGCTATCAGGGAGGTCATCCTGTGAATTCGGACATACTACTCTGTTCGCACTGTTTGGTGCCTACTGTCTAGTAGGGACCTATGCGTATTTAAATACACCCATTCTTTGCCGAAAGGAAATTCCCAGTAAATATACTAAATACTGCATGAATTGCAGCACATTATTTACATTTTCATAAATCAGCCAGGAAATTTTTAATTTTCAGAATATTAGCAAATCAGCATTTAGAGGATTTTGAGCTGATGGTGCAACTTACTCCAAAGCATGTATATGGTGAGTCCTTTCTAAATGTGTTACAAAACCTGCCGTTTGCTAGATTAAACCACTGACACATTTTACCCCATAACATACTTAACACAAGCAGTTGTTTCATCTGCATTGACATTAGAGGCTTTTGAATCCCAGTCCAGCAAACGTGTGCGTTTCACCCTGATGTTTACCTGCTCTGCTTCCCGCTCATGGCCTCTGCTGACTCGTTGGTTTTCTTCATCCGGCCGCTGTGCTGATTCATCTGTTCTGCCAGCCGCTGCAGTCTGCCTCACTGACCAGGCGAGACAGTGAGCTGGACCGCAGTCTCAGAACAAACAGCTGCTGTCACCGCCGTTATACGACACACACCAGAAAACATCTCTGCAGGCTGATAGAAACATCTCAGGGATACAGACCTTGAGATTTAAACTCTCATATATAGACGTCTCATACTATTTATAAAACAGATAGTTCCGGTCCTTGATTCTGATTGGCTGAGCCGCGTTCGAAGCTGTTGTAAATTACTCTACAAACACACACCTTTGTTTACTTCTGTGTGTAGCTCGGCAAACATTTTGTTGGAACCACAACTGTTTCTGAGGAACTACATTGTTTGATGGAAGAATAATGTTTTTATTAATATCATTACACTTTATTTGCTGGGTTTTTTTTGTGAAACCTTACTACATATATGGAATAACCGTTTTATAAAAGCAATAAGCCTCGTGAAGCCGTGGTTTACAGTGATTTTATAACAGCTAAGGGGCGTTGTTAGGCACGATGTGGAGCGGAGTTTATTGCTTTATTCTAACTATGTAATGGAGAGACCAAGCATTTTAATATATCACCTTTGAGAGATAGATCATATAAAAATACTGTTATAACACTAATTTATTAAAATAATATTTTTAAAGATTCTTTATTATTATATATTGTTTTTTAAGGATAGAGGAAACATTTTTATTCCGTATAAACAATGTTGTTGAGTAGAAATACAAAACGCTTAAGCAAGAAATTAAACGGTAAGATAGTTAATATCAGTATTAAACATTGAAAACAAGTTTAAAATATTACATGTTTTGCATATTCGTTCACAAAAAAAAATGTATTTAAATAATAAATATTCATTTTCATTCATATAAATTTGTATAATACATATTTGAATTGATGAATCAGACTTATAAATCTGTGAATCAGGCTGAAGTGAATCAGATACGCAAACTCTGCAAATACATCTCGAATATCGAATATGTCTAACAAATTAGCAAATTATGGAAGAATAATGTTTTTATTAATATCATTACACTTTATTTGCTGGGTTTTTTTTGTGAAACCTTACTACATATATGGAATAACCGTTTTATAAAAGCAATAAGCCTCGTGAAGCCGTGGTTTACAGTGATTTTATAACAGCTAAGGGGCGTTGTTAGGCACGATGTGGAGCGGAGTTTATTGCTTTATTCTAACTATGTAATGGAGAGACCAAGCATTTTAATATATCACCTTTGAGAGATAGATCATATAAAAATACTGTTATAACACTAATTTATTAAAATAATATTTTTAAAGATTCTTTATTATTATATATTGTTTTTTAAGGATAGAGGAAACATTTTTATTCCGTATAAACAATGTTGTTGAGTAGAAATACAAAACGCTTAAGCAAGAAATTAAACGGTAAGATAGTTAATATCAGTATTAAACATTGAAAACAAGTTTAAAATATTACATGTTTTGCATATTCGTTCACAAAAAAAAATGTATTTAAATAATAAATATTCATTTTCATTCATATAAATTTGTATAATACATATTTGAATTGATGAATCAGACTTATAAATCTGTGAATCAGGCTGAAGTGAATCAGATACGCAAACTCTGCAAATACATCTCGAATATCGAATATGTCTAACAAATTAGCAAATTCAAAAACACTTTGTGAATTGCTAGTCTACTTAAAGTGATCTTCAGGAAACTTAATGGTGGGTAAAAAAAAAAACTATTTATAGTAAAATCTAAAAATAAATAAAAATATTTATTTTAATGTTGGTTTATTTTCTATTGCCAACAGGTGATTGCAAATATATTACGAATATTGAATATGTGTAATGAATTAGCAAATTCAAAAACAAATCATTAGTCTTAACGTGATCTTGAGAACTTAATGGGAGGAAAACTAATCATAGTAAAATCTCAACAAACACAATACCCTCAATGTTGATTAATTTTCTATTGCCAAAACATCTGTGCGAATATATCACAAATATTTGCAAAATCAAAACATTTGCGAATCACTATTTCAAGTCTACTTGATGTGATCTTGAGGAACATTAATGGTGCAGGGAAAAAAACGTAATATAATAAAATTGTTAAAAAAAATTGAAACAATTTTGGTTAATTTTCTGTTGCCAAAAAAAAATGAATGCAATTATATCATGAATATTGGATACGTCTACTACGATCATTGCGAATCGCTAGTCTACTTGATGTAATCATGAGGGAAAAACGATGATTATACTAAAATCTGAAGAAGAAAAAACAATACAATTTTGGTTCGTTTTCTATTGCCAAAAAAATCAGCGCAAATATTTTACTAATATTGGATAGCAGTTTAAACATGGTAATGGTAAACTATATTATGAAGTGCCTTCCAAACATGTAAGCCAGTAGATACAGGCTTTTCCTTAAACCAATAATATCACCAGTTTAGAACGAATGAAGAATTTGGTCCAAAAGGTCCAAATTCTTCACAAAGAGTTGAGTTGTTTCTGTTGCAAACGACCAGACCTGCCGTCTCCGTGAACTCTTCAACCAAACACTGAGTCGGAGGCATCCTGCAGTGACGGATACGAGCTTCTCCATGTACGGTCACATGCAGCCACGGCCGTTTGTGTTCGTTTACCGCTTATATAAACACCGAGCATCAGCGGAGCGGCTCCTTCATTGGTGGAAAGAAACCTGAAAAAAGCCTGAGGAATTTAAAGGGAGGGCAGGACGAATTCCTGGACTTATTGAGCCTGGAATGCTTTCCTTCATCCCCGAAACCCAGAAGCTGCACGCTTATCAATCAAGTGCTGCAAGTGTGAAAATCAGAAAGCCTTCTATCAAAGACATTGATGTAAAATGAGGTAAAACTGTCATTTATAGACCTGTACAGTTAATTATTTCTTCGTTCCTCCCAGGTGATTCGTACGATGTGTGTGCCATTTGTTTGGATGAGTATGAGGAGGGCGACAAGCTGCGGGTTCTTCCCTGCTCACACGGTGAGTTCCTGTCTCGTTCTGGCGCTTGATCAGCAAATGATACAACTGGGGAATTAATTTGCAGCTTGAAACATTTCACCGTTAAATCAGTGGCATGTTTCAGATTCAAAACAAGTGCTATCAACAGTGTCTGTGTTGCTTACAACCAAAGAAAATTATGTAAAAAATATCGGAAGCTACTATCAGCACACAATATATATATTTTTTTTTTTATGAACAAACGTTTAACTAAATTATTTTCTGTGATGCGAAGGAAGCATTTAACCAAGAGCATTTGTTGCAAATGTAACCACATGACTAAATAAGTAAAATTAGTCAAAAAGAATAAATACATAAAATAAAGGCATCGTAAAAACCTTCCATGTCAGTTTGTGACAAAAAAAAATATGTATTTATTTTTTTATTAAAAATACTTCATCAAAATCAACCCTGGGACACATATACATACACACACACACACACACACATATATATTAGTGCTATCAAATGATTAATTGCATCCAAAATAAGTTTTTGTTTGCATAATATGTGTGTGTTCTGTGTATATTTATTATGTATATATAAATACACAAACAAGCATGTATATATTTCAGAAGAATGTTGTTTATATATTAAATATATAGTTTAAATAAATTATATTAATATATACATGTAAATATTTTCAAAATATATACATGCATGTGTGTGTATTTATATATACAAAATAAATATACACAGTACACATATATATTATGTAAACAAAAACTTTTATTTTGGATGCGATTAATCACGATTAATCGTTTGACAGCACTAATATATATATATCAGTTCAAAGATTTATTTAATTACAATTTTTGTAAAACATGTAATGAAAAAATTAACCCGGGACATAAAAGTACATAATAATAATTAAAACAATTTGTATATTAGATGTATGTTTATATGTATAAGGCATGGTAGGGAAAGATTTTTTATAAATTTTAAGAAAAAACAACTCATGATATTAAAGTGCCGAATAATAATTGGATCAATTCATAGTTCAAAGATTTATTTAATTACAATTTTTGTAAAACATGTAATGAAAAAATTAACCCGGGACATAAAAGTACATAATAATTAAAACAATTTGTATATTAGATGTATGTTTATATGTATAAGGCATGGTAGGGAAAGATTTTTTATAAATTTTAAGAAAAAACAACTCATGATATTAAAGTGCCGAATAATAATTGGATCAATTCATATATTAAATCAAATTATCAATATTTCTTTAAAAAAAATACATTTATATATATATATGGTGATAATGTCTTTTTAATTAATTTTAGTTAGTGGAATTGAAGTGAATTACTAATACATTTAAATAATTACCATGTAATAAACCAGCTTTGTCAGGATGGGTGGCATTAATTCTCTCTGCACCAATCATCAGCGTATCACAGCAAGTGTGTCGACCCATGGCTGACCAAAACCAAGAAGACCTGCCCCGTGTGCAAGCAGAAGGTCGTGCCGGCTGATGGCGACTCTGACTCCGAGTCTGAGTTTGGTGACAGCGGCGGCGAGGAGAACGAAGTGTCGGAAAACACACCCCTGCTGCGATCTCTGGCCTCCACCAGCGCCCATTCCTTCGGCACCATGTCCGGCTCACTGTCCCGTCCCGACGCCGAGTCCTCGGACTACGAAGAGCGCAGCGACACCACCGACAGCGAGGAGGAGGCTACCGTGGAGACTGTGGTCGTACAGCTGCAGCAGGGCTGTCCCGACAACATGGAGGCCAGCGCTTGAGACGTTAGCGACGCCAACTCAAACTCTCAGTGGAGATTCCAAAACATTTCACCGTCACTTACAAGTTACCATTGAAAAATGTTTAACGTTCACCACGTGCAGCGATACTATGCAGCGAAATTTTATAAATCATGGTTTCCCCCCCAAAAGAAGTGCGAAAATGCGCGAATTTCGCCAACCTGGTGAAACGTCACCTTAGCGCCTGCTGCCAAACTCATCTCAGATGTGCATCCGATCACGACCAACTGCATGGTTTATACGACACGATAAGACTTTATTAGCGACACTGACGTCACGTTTTAGTTTGATCATTAACAGCGGAGCCGCTCCAAACACCAGTCACTCAGACGTGATCTTGGAAGTGTAGTTAGGTATAACACATTTATATAATGTAAGGAGGAAATAAATTGGGTAAGTAGGAGTTGAAGGGTTTTTTTTGCTAACACAATGTGATCTGTTACTGATGTCTGATTGCCTTTAAATGTTGCTTTACTGTAAATATACCTTTCACTCACCCTTGTTTCTAAGTAGTCTACATTCATTTCGCTTTTCTGAATAAAATACTACACCTTTTACTGTTTGTGTGTCAGTTTGTCATCCAGCGGTTTGGAAAGCAGCACATGGTTTTAAGATTTGATTACATCTTAGAAACACAATATAAACATAAGTGCACCTAGAAGAAACGTGTGCAAATATTCAAAATTTTGAAAAAAAGAACGCCATTTTTTGTGCATGAGCATGTTGTTTCCCCCCTCCGCTCCTCTAAATTTATAGTAACGTTTGTGACACTTTACAATAAGGTTCCATTTGTTAACATTAGTTAACTACATTAGTTAACATGAACTAATAATGAAAAATACCTGTAAAGCATTTATTAATCTCTGTTCACAGTAACTGCAACATTTACTATTATAATCCAAAGTTTTAGGTTAATATTATTTAATGGACCTGAGCTAACGTGAACGAACAATGAACAGTTGTATTTTTCTCAATTTATACTGTAACGTTTTACATAATATACTATAACAAATGTATTGTTCATTGTTAATGCTAGTTAATGCATGATAAACATCAAATTTTCATGTTTGGGTGAACTATCCCTTTAATGATCATTGCCTTCACATCTCAAAAATGGTTTGAAGGCTAAGAAAATGGGGTGGGGTGGGGGGGACTATGGTTACTATAGTTAATCCATGGTAACCACAAATTAACCATGGTTTCGCTACACTAACCAGGGCTGGAAATGTTTCAGCTCCAACTGGTTAGATTTTTGGGGAAATTAAAGGGATTTCTGTTTTCTTCATTCAATAGCCTACACACATAAACGTAGCGCAACATAATAATCATTTTTGAATTAATCTTTTTTAACAGTCACTTGCTTTGTTCCTGAATGAATCCACTGAATGAATGATTCAGTGACAAAGACCGTGATTGCTGCCACCTATTTAAATAATTTAATATTTCTATATTCAGAACTTATTCATCACATAAGATTATGAATTGAAATGCTTCATGCCACCTTTGAGCCTCATTAAACAGTCTGTAAGTATACCTAAATGTCGCTTTTGTGTTCTTCTGTGCCACCTCTGTAGTGCAAAGATACATTTTTTTATATTGATTGGATTGGTAACTTATGCTTCCTGACTGTGTCTTATTAACTAATTGAATGTACAGTTATAATTTAAAAAAAAAAGAAAAAAAAAAGTTTATAAATATAATAACACCGGGTGCTTTTGATCTTGATACCTAAAAACATATGGTTTAGGAGGAAACATGAAATAAAGTTTAATGTTATAGATGATAAAGGTTTATGTAATTAATTAAATCTGTAAGTAAGGAAAAGCTATCAATTATTAATGTAAACAACTATTATCAATCAATTAATAATTAAATATATTTCACGTTCTTAATTGTTTATATTTTTATAATGCCACCAGTTCACATTTACAACTCTGCGTGTTTGCAGCGTACAAACATGGGTTGATTTTCCCATTGGTCCGCTCAAAAGCAGCAGCTCTGCCAGCAGGAGGCGCTTTTGAAGCGGCAGAAATAGAACCGTTTGCCCGGTAACAGCAGAACACAAAGCAGCGGACTTTGAAACGTGCAGCGCTCGTGTTTATTCAATAGATTCATAGCCTTTTGAAATTGAATCGTCAATTCTTGTCCCCAAATTTACGACCTCTTGAAATCATAATTAAGACTTTCTTGTTCCATTTATGAATTTTTATGACCTTAAATTTGATACAACTAAATTTAAGACGCGGAAACCCTGATTAACAGATTAATAATGAAATAAAATAGAATCTGACATACTGTTTTAATGCGAAATTCAAGAAAAGTTTGACTTTTACATTTTTATAGGAGCAATTTAGCAATGAAACAACAAATTTGTCTTCCATGAACACTTTCCAATTTATGTGCAAACAGTCTATGACCATTATCTACTTTAAACTTTTTTGGGGAAAAAAGAAGAAGAAAAAAAAATCGTGAGATAAACCCTTAAACAACACACAGCAAAGAAAACTGACAAGTAACTGGATTGGAATAGGTTTATTTAATCTGTCTGTAAACAAGGTGGTGCGACCTCTTGAAATCATAATTAAGACTTTCTTGTTCCATTTATGACTTTTTATGACCTTAAATTTGATACAACTAAATTTAAGACTTGAGACTTTTTAAGGACCCGCGGAAACCCTGATTAACAGATTAATAATGAAATAAAATAGAATCTGACATACTGTTTTAATGCGAAATTCAAGAAAAGTTTGACTTTTACATTTTTATAGGAGCAATTTAGCAATGAAACAACAAATTTGTCTTCCATGAACACTTTCCAATTTATGTGCAAACAGTCTATGACCATTATCTACTTTAAACTTTTTTGGGGAAAAAAGAAGAAGAAAAAAAAATCGTGAGATAAACCCTTAAACAACACACAGCAAAGAAAACTGACAAGTAACTGGATTGGAATAGGTTTATTTAATCTGTCTGTAAACAAGGTGGTGAAATTAATTTATGGCATTTCTCAGTTTATGCATATGAAATCAGACTGCATCCAAGATGTATGAAAAAGTACAGGGAAAAAGAGAAATCAACTAAAGTCACCTGTACAAATAACCCACAAGGCCAGAGCTTCAGCTGATAGTAAATACCCCTGAACAAAGCAGCGACAGAATCATTCGGGAAGCGGTTTGATTCAATGACAACAGATTCTCTACATTATGGCACAGGATACACATTATGATTTGAGTGTCATACTTGAACATTTGGACTTGATGAAACATCAAGTTTTGACAGACAGTTGTATCGCTGACGACTCAAAGGCAATTTAATCCACAGTCATGACAGTACGGGTTCAATTCAATTCAAGTGTTGACGTGAAGTCTGCGATCAGATGCTAGTGTTTTGTTGGTTAGCGTTTATGGTAGTGCGTAAATAACCCAGGAAGTGACAAAAATTGGTCAAACTATACTCCAAACCGCTGATACCCACTGTCTGAAATGGCAGTCATCTTGCAAATTAATTAATTAATGAATAAGCTAGCAAAGTAAGTGCAATGACGGAATGTCAATAAACATTCAATTGTGGGGTTGATTTGGGGGGGTTGGAGGACAAATAACAAAACAGAGGTTTGTTAGAGCAGACGCCATATTTAATTTGACGAAAACACTAAATTGGCCATCCAGCCTAACTAGGGTTCATTTGGTAGGCTTAAAGATATGCAGTCGACCGTTCCCAGATTTGATCTAGGAATGGGAGTTTGAGTTTAGCTCAAGCCCTTGATAATCAACTAAACTCCTAAAAACTTTCGAATAAGCAGAACCGAGACATGAAGTCTTCACGCTAGCATTTGGTCTGAAACGCGTCATGGGGCCGAACACAATAAATGGACATTTATAGGAAAGAAACAGGGTTTGGGCAGCACAAAATGGAAGTAGAGTTGAAAACCAATAGACGATGAAGCAAATCTCATCTAGAAAGGTTAGCAGAATGAGCAGCTAGCATTGGGAGGTGTCTTAATATCCAGATTTCCTCAGGTATTCAGCCATGAGATACGCTTTCTTGTTGAGCAGCCCTCCATGGGTGCCTTCCTTGCCCATGACAATAACCATTGCTGGAGTACACAAGGAAAAGAAAAAAAAACAAGAACAAAAATCAACAAACTTGAGGGGAAAAAGAAAAAAAAGAAAAGACTTTGCCAACTTAAAAAGGAATGCAAGTGTTCGCCATATTTAATTTGACGAAAACACTAAATTTGCCATCCAGCCTAACTAGGGTTCATTTGGTAGGCTTAAAGATATGCATACAGTCGACCGTTCCCAGATTTGATCTAGGAATGGGAGTTTGAGTTTAGCTCAAGCCCTTGATAATCAACTAAACTCCTAAAAACTTTCGAATAAGCAGAATCGAGACATGAAGTCTTCACGCTAGCATTTGGTCTGAAACGCGTCATGGGGCCGAACACAATAAATGGACATTTATAGGAAAGAAACAGGGTTTGGGCAGCACAAAATGGAAGTAGAGTTGAAAACCAATAGACGATGAAGCAAATCTCATCTAGAAAGGTTAGCAGAATGAGCAGCTAGCATTGGGAGGTGTCTTAATATCCAGATTTCCTCAGGTATTCAGCCATGAGATACGCTTTCTTGTTGAGCAGCCCTCCATGGGTGCCTTCCTTGCCCATGACAATAACCATTGCTGGAGTACACAAGGAAAAGAAAAAAAAACAAGAACAAAAATCAACAAACTTGAGGGGAAAAAGAAAAAAAAGAAAAGACTTTGCCAACTTAAAAAGGAATGCAATTGTTGACAAGATTCATTACCCTTCTTTGCCATTAAGACGTCCAAAAACGTTACATGTGTTTCAAGGGGGAAGGGGGGTCTTCAGCTTATTTTGGGAACGTGGGTGACTTGTTTTTTTTTTTCTCCCTAAATTTCACTACTTGATCAAGAAAAAAAAAGCCTAGAACCCTGAATCTCTCAAGTATTTTGCCATTGAATATGCCTTCTTATTCAAGCCGCCGCCGTGGACCCCTTCTTTGCCCATTACAAGAACCAAGACTGAAAGAAAAAGACAGAGAGATGAAGTTAAGAGGACAGGAAAATCCCAGCACTGGGGAAAAGCCAAACCAAGATCAACGAGGCCAGATAGGACAGAATAAAAAGCAGAAAGATCCGAGATAGCATGCATGCAGAGTGAAAGACTGCAGCCTAGAGGAAATACCATCATTTAGCTACAGATACTATCACTATATAATAACTTTCACTGACGTTTTGCTTATTTTAATAAAGCTTTGTTCGAGGGACTTCAACTCAAAGACACTGTTAATTTTACTTTGTATTTTGAGTTATGACTTCGAGTTACGGCTATTATTGTGGCATCATCAATTTCAGATTTACATACTTCTAAAAATAAAAGAAAAAAAAGTCTGTTTTTAAGAACCATCCAGTTTTTTTTGTCAATCAAACAATTATAATTATAATTACAATCATATTATATATATATATATATATATATCACATCAAGAACCAAGACTGAAAGAAAAAGACAGAGAGAGATGAAGTTAAGAGGACAGAAAAATCCCAGCACTGGGGAAAAGCCAAACCAAGATCAACGAGGCCAGATGGGACAGAATAAAAAGCAGAAAGATCCGAGATAGCATGCATGCAGAGTGAAAGACTGCAGCCTAGAGGAAATACCATCATTTAGCTACAAATACTATCACTATATAATAACTTTCACTGACGTTTTGCTTATTTTAATAAAGCTTTGTTCGAGGGACTTCAACTCAAAGACACTGTTAATTTTACTTTGTATTTTGAGTTATGACTTCGAGTTACGGCTATTATTGTGGCATCGTCAATTTCAGATTTACATACTTCTAAAAATAAAATAAAAAAAAGTCTGTTTTTAAGAACCATCCAGTTTTTTTTGTCAATCAAACAATTATAATTACAATCATATTATATATATATATATATATATATATATATCACATTTGTCGCACTGCATTGTACTTTATGCAGTAATCAATTTCAGATTTACATACTTCTAAAAATAAAAGAAAAAAAAGTCTGTTTTTAAGAACCATCCAGTTTTTTTTGTCAATCAAACAATTATAATTATAATTACAATCATATTATATATATATATATATATATATCACATTTGTCGCACTGCATTGTACTTTATGCAGTATTGTACTTCAATTTTGAAATTAAATATTAAGTTATTTTAAGTTAAAATATTTAAGTTAAAGAATGTCAATGTTGCATTACAAAAGCTAAACAGATTTTTATAAAAGTAATATTATAAATAAAATATTTAATATAGTATTATATTTGTAAAGAATGCTTTAAAAAAAAAAGAAAAAAATTATAATACTTATTATAGGTCTAGTATATAGTATTATACTATTTATATATTTATAATATATAATGATTATAATATTTGTGATATAATATTAATATTACAATTAAATTTCAAATTTTTGACCAGTATAAGCTACACACTGGATCAGAGGTTATGCTAATCAAAAATATGCCTCTTAGATAATGCTTCATTAAATAATTACTGTTAATAAGTAATGATTGATGAAGGGTCGCTGAATTATTGAAAATTAATGCGCGTCCTGGGTGGTAATGCAGCACTAATTTATCATAAATGATCCAGCTTATAACATGATTACCAAAGATTTCCATGTTTTTCTCTCAATACATTACGTTTTTCATCCTATGCATGTACTACTTTCTTGCACATCTTGACCCTATGGAGATATTTAAAGTAAACTGTTTGCTATTTGTATCCTGTTGGTTTTTTCCCCTGGTTCTTTTGCTGTTGCAGGCCATAGGGCTTTTGGAAATAGCTGAAATAATTTGGCAAAGTGAACTGGAACTGTAATGCAGTTAATCACAGCTCAACACCTTATAATATCGGTCAGCCAATCAGAATGAAGCATTCAACAGCACTGTCGTATAATGAACGTTACTATAATGTTACCATTTTGGTTCAGCAAAGACCAAACAATTAGCATATTCATTTGGAGATTTGGATTTAGAGCAAATGTTGATTAAGTGTTAGAGAAATGGATTGTAGCATGTGATTCATGCAATTCAAGCAGGAAAAGCAAGTTTAGTTCCTCTCCTCAATACATGCCATGAGCTATATGAAAGAGATTGCTTCATAAAGGAGCACTTTATTTCAGGAAACAGGAAATCCTCACATTTTACAGAGCGACAGACCCCAGATGTGTGTGAGAGTAGCAGAAACATGCATATGAGAGGGAATGTACCTCGACAGGTCCCGCAAACTTCCTGAACACCTGAGCTCAAGTCTCGTGATCAACCGAGACTCTCTAAAATAACTAGCTAGTTAATGAAACTCTGCTTTTATTCACAAATATTGTGTAGAAGACCCACACTGGTAAAAGCAAGATTCTTAAAGAAATGCTTAGGGCATATTTTCCCCACCACAGTTAAAAATAAATAGGTGTTTCTGTCAAACTCCTGTGTTATATAGGAAAGATATATTGAGGAAAGGTTGACATCTGCATTATTATTCATCTATTAATACTAAAAAAAATTATAATAAAAAAAATTGAAGTTTTACTGTTAAAAGATATTTGTGAGAAATATAAGTTCTTAGACTAGTACCTTTGGCTGCTTTGCCGACAGTGATGTTGTACGTGGCTTCTCCTCCTTGACTCTTTGTCCTTATGTCCATTGTCCAATCATTGTCGACTAGGAGGCTGTCTCGGATAACTGAGCACTTCTTTGAACCTAAGGTCAGGCCATTGGTGAAAAAACTTTCTCGGTCTTTCCCTACTAGGATGTCGATTTCTGTGGCCTGGTGTTAGAAAAAATAAAAAAAGATATATATTACATGTTGTACTGTAATGTCTTGTCTAGTGTTTTACATTTTAATATGGATTAATGAACAGCCAAATGCAAATCAACAAATGCAGGCAGGCGGTTAGAGGAGTATGGGAAATTATCAGAGAGATCTATGCAGATAATTTGAGATAAACTAGATAGATACAATGTCACAGAGCTGTCATCATGCACTTTGAACATCAACGAGTCACTAAGAACACAACAAAAAACTAGATAACTTAAATATAGTAGGCTAGTCAGTTAAAACTTGCTGTTTTTGTGTGAAAAGACAAATTTCACACCTGGCCCTGACTAGATTCTAACCTATTTATGTGCTGAAATCTGCCCGACAACTCCGTTTTGATTTTGTGTAGTGTCTTCAAAGCTGCAGTCACATCGGTGAAATATTGGCAAAATTTCACAAAACAAAAACCTATTGTCATTAGTGATGCATGTAGCCGAACAAACACTTTCAAACCAAGAAGCTTTCGGTTGGTCAACAGCAAATTCACGTGACCAATTTGAACCCAATAACAACTTTGTGAGGAGAAATTTTGCGCCTATTGAAATGACTGGATTTTGCCAAGCAACTTTGTACAATTTGTACAATTAAGTGGGCAAAAAAATGTCTTTTGTCAATAGTGTAGTGACGTATGAAGTAATTTTCAAACCAAGCAGCTTTCGTGGCTAACTTGAACCCATTGCGAAATCGGTGTAGGCAGATCTTTTTAGCCTTAATACACCTTGATGTAAAATAAAATAAATAAATTACACAAAGTTTAAATAAAGTAAAAATCAGCAAACACTGTGAAACCAAATATATAAGAAACAAATGTTAAAAAAAAACTTCCAAAATCTAGATAAATGGCAAAAGTCAACAGGCTTTTCAAAATCCAAAATATTGCCAAACAGGTGCTTTTGCATTTCGTTTCTAAAACTAAATCTTCCGCCATGGTCTTGTTGGTCAGCTCGACTCTCTCTCCTCACGTGATAAATGAAATCCTACCCAGCTGCTGATCTGTGATGCGACCGTCATTGAGCAATCATGTTCAGTTTTTCAGAGTCTGTTCTCTAACTGAACTAAATGATTTTGTATTACTAGGCCTGTCACAATAATCAATATATCGACTTATCGCACAATATATGTACATGACCTCAATCATTTTTGGTGACTCAATATATCGCCCATTATATTTACTTAAAAATTAATGTCACCACGTTTTGTACATTCCACTTGCGCCTGTGTCTTTTGCAGTTTCTCGTACATAATGTGGTGCAGTTGGTGCTAGTTCAAATGTAAAAAATGCTTCTACAAATAGAAAAAACAAAAAGTTTCATCTGCAGATATGGCCTTGTTTAGGGATCTGTGCCTTTGTGCATACGGACATCTAACTGTTGAGTAGTGATTGTGTTTTTCAGCAATACAGTGCACCCTTAATTCACAGAGAAAAGAAGGTCTGGAAAAAAATCTGTAGATGAAAAAATCTCCATACAAGTTCTTTGTGAATTTTTCTACTTGTTACTTTGCACTTTGTTAGAAAATGTTTATTTACTATTTATTCAAGTTTTTTAAGGTATCTAATATTTTGATAATTTCCATGATCTAAATATTCTTAAAAATTAAAAGTTTGTTGTCATTTGGAAGTGTGCAGGCCTTCTTGCATTATTATGTGGTTACATTATGATTATATATTCAGTGGCATAAAATGATCTTTAAAATGACAATAATATCGCTTATCGCAATTATTTCTGGGGCAATATATCGCACAACAAAAAGTTGTTATCGTGACAGGCCTATTTATTACTATAAAAAAATCAAGACGACGTGGCGGGCGCCGGGCGGTGCAAGTGACGTAACCGGTGCTGCGGCTTGACACCGGTAACACCGACTATCACAACAAGCCTATGAAAAATGTGAAAATTAGCAAAGTTTTGCAGGCAAAAAAGTAGGGATGCACCGATATGAAAATTTTGGCCGATACCGATAACCGATTATTCTTTATTTTTGAAAGCCGATAACCGATATGTTGGCCGATAAATCTGTCTGTTGTCAATAGTCCAGCAGTGTTTGAAGTCATTTTTAAACAATCAGCTTTCTGTTGGTCAATGAGGCAAAAATCACATGTCCAACTTGAACGCATTGTGAAATTTGTGTGGGGAAATCTTTTGGTTTTGTGCTAAATTCCCAATCGAGCAGATTACTGTTGAAATGACTGGATTTCACCCAATAAATCTGATATATGATGATGGACTGCACCTTTATGGTAAACAAATTTGCGTTAATCAACTTGAACGGAAAATGTGAAAATTAGCAAAGTTTTGCAGGCAAAAAAGGTCTGTTGTCAATAGTCCAGCAGTGTTTGAAGTCGTTTTTAAACAATCAGCTTTCTGTTGGTCAATGAGGCAAAAATCACATGTCCAACTTGAACGCATTGCGAAATTTGTGTGGGGAAATCTTTTGGTTTTGTGCTAAATTCCCAATCGAGCAGATTACTGTTGAAATGACTGGATTTCACCCAATAAATCTGATATATGATGATGGACTGCACCTTTATGGTAAACAAATTTGCGTTAATCAACTTGAACGTGATGCGAAGTCTGCACGGCGAAACCTTTCACCTCACGCTAGCGTACACACAAGAGCAAAGCATACTTTGGGCTTAAAGCAAAATTCCCACAGATTCGGTTTAAAAATACTCAATTTTTGACTGCAAAAATTCAACAACTCCAGTAAATGTGAGCGCATTTTTAGTCAACTAGTCACTAGACGACCCAACAGCTAATCCACTCTGACTAGCAGTCTTCCAAAAACAATGAAAACATAATTTATATTCACACTGCCAAACTACATCTGACTACAAATACCAAGCAAACATGGATGTTTATTTTTAGAGTACTCCACAGTTTTGAAAGGATATTTCTGGAACATGATGAAAGCATGGCTGAGCAGAGGTAAATTGTACCAGCGTCCTTAAAAGGAACTTCTACAACACAACATATTTGGGAAATAGTCTGCCTAACCCTCAAACTGGAATGCAGCAATCACATTAAACAAAAGTTTCAAATGTGTCAAATGCTGTCACAGATCAAGTCTGATCATGCAGTTTTCTAATTCGTTTCATTGTCGCTTAGACTGCATCACAGTAGCTTTGTTTGTACTGGCCCACTACGAATCCTACTGAGCCGTTTTCCCTCAGGTCAAACCACATAAAACTAAAAGCAGATACTCTTTGGTGAGAATCAGCGAGCAGATGCTATTTCCAGTAAGGTCTGGAGGTGCTTGTATGGCGATAAGAAACTGCCTTGAACTTCATGAAGCCTTGTTGGACTCATTCCTTTCTCTAGTACTTCAGGAAACTAAGAGGAAAAACCTACTGCTTTTACAGTCAATCTAAACCTGTATGACTGACTGAGGCTGTCGAACTTTAACGCAAGAAGTCATGCAGGTTTGAAACAACATGAGGATGATGAGGTGACAGTTTGTAGGTGAACTAAACCGAAACTCCTTCCAACCAGAATTTGGTCCTTTTGATCCTCAGAAACGTTCAACTTGCTAAATTATTACTAATAAGGAAGTTAAAATGAAGTCTGACAGCAACCAGCAACTTTTCCAGTGGGAACTCATTACAGCTATGAACAGATTCATATTTCTCTAACACTGCAGTCAACATCCAATATGAGGATTTCCACACCTTTTGACCCATGAATTGCCCGTTTTTTTATGATTACTGGATAAGTATTTTTTTTATATATATATTTTTAAAGTGATTGCTCCCACCAAGAGGAATTTCTAGCCGATTCTGAATATTTCAAAACTTAGGTTAATTCACTAAAGAAATGTATGACTTTGATTAACTTCCATAGCTAAAAATAACATTTCCTAATATTTCCAGGTTTTACATAATCATAGGAACCTTGCAATATACACTAGCCTATTATATGGTGTTAAACCTAAAAACGAAAATTGTCATAATTGACTCACCTTCAAGTTGTTCCAAACTTGTACGAGTTTCTTTTTTCTGTATTCTGCACAAAAGAAGAATGTTGGTAGGTTGACGGTAGCCATTGACTTCCATAATATGGGGAAAAAATTTAATAAAAATACTTTGGAAATCAATGGCTACCATCAACTGTTTGGTTACCAACATTCTTCAAAATATATATTTTTTGTGTTCAACAGCTAAAGGAAACTCGTACCTCAACTAGCACACGTACGTCTGCCAGATGTCTGTTAAAGATCGCTTCATCTGGAAAGCATCTGCTAGACATCTTTAAGATGTCAGTGTTACATACATTCTAAATCATAAACATCTTATAGACATCTTCTAAACATCTATTTGATATCTGATATGAAACGTCCTATAGACGTATTGCAGATGAGCTAACACTCGAAAAAAATACGTCTTGCAGATGTAATGCAGAGGACAAACAGACGTCTCCGTGATGTACGTGTGCTATCAGGGACAGGTTAGAAACAACACAAGGGTGAGTACATGACAGGATTTTCATTCGCCTAAAAATTAAAATTCTGTCATTTACTCACACTCATTTGTTTCTAACCCGTATGGCTTTATTTCTTCTGTGGAACACAAGTGACGATATTTTGAGAATGTTTCAGTGGTTTTTGTCCATGCATGAAATAAAGTCTTACCGGTACAAAACAACATGAGGGTAAGTAACTGAGTGAAAAGAATTTACAATAACTATCCCTTTAACCTGTAACCAAAAATTGCAAAACATATGTTTCACATATTTTAAAAGTAACCGTACAAGCAGCATTTGAAGGCAGCACATTAAGAAGGGGAAAATAAAGGTCAGTGTGACAAATAAGGAGAAGTAACACCCATTTATGGAGCGCCATCTTGGACAACGGGAAGAGGGCAGGTACTGCGAAGATCCGGTATTCTGGAATGACTTTACGCACATTCCGCAGCTGAATGACACGCGTGTTCCCTGCCGTACACAAGTTAACTTACGCAGTCTGCTGATGTTCGAATCTGACCGTTTGCACTAACACCACCTCCCTATGACTGAAAACACATTTCTTTAACTTCGTTAAGTCCGTGCGCCGTCTCGACCTGGACTTGTAACGCTCAACACTTGAGTTTCAACGAAACAAAAAATAATTTGTTAACATTCTGGCGATTTTTCGCCAAATACAACCAGCTAACCTCGACGACACAGTGACAGACTTAGCCTACATAAATAAAAAGACGCATGAAATCGAAACGCTATCAAAAACCTTTCCAAATTATCATTATTATGTGTTTGTTTAGTCAGCTAGCAGCCAGCGTGTGTTAGCTTTCGCCAGGCCGTGTATTTCTAAAAAACCGGCTGACAGGTAGATCGAAACCCCGGCTGTGTCTCCCAACCCTTGAGGACAGCCTACAGACAGCGCTTCAGCGTCCCAGCAGCATTTTGGCGCGTTTTCAGTTTAAAATACCGCTTTATTCTACGCCGCGTCAAATAAACAAAGCCAACTGAAATACGCGTCATTTTGGCGCGTTACTTCCAAATTAACCGCGGTTTAGAGCCGCACTCCGACTCCGCACCTATGCTGACCAAACGTGCTGTCTAGGTAGGGCAGCCTACTAGTTAATAAAACACAGCCACAGTTTCAGCCCTCCACTAAAGGCAGCACAAGAGTGCAGTTAACATCGCGTATTTACCGTGATGTTTACGAATGTGCCCCCCTCCTGCGCTGCCCACACGTATTTAGAGTCCGAGTTGCACCCGACAATGGCGGAGTCCTGGCACGAGCCATCCGACATCAGGTTATCCACGTAGCTCTGCCATGAAGACATACTTGCCCTCTGGTTTCAAACGCTCACAAGCTAGCCTTAAAAAGAGGGACTGGCAGTTGCGTGCGGTCTCGGTTCGCGGTTACCCTGTATCTGGATGTCCCGCACGCCCCCTTCTCTAATGAGAGTTTGAGCAGTAGAGTCCCGGCTGAATGGAGACTCTGGGTGTAGTCCCTCAGATATCCCTCCGCGCAGGCGCGCTTAGTCTGCGGTCCGTTAGAACAAAGCCGTATGCGCGGATTAATACGAGTTCTGATTGGACGCTAATGTGCGTGAGCGTTTAGAAGCCACGTTTTGTGTGACAAAGTTAGTTCATGTGTGTAATGCAAACTAAAAACAATACATTTGGTTGGGAGTGCTATTCAAAATTTATTTATTTTTTGGTTTGTACCGAACATTTCACTTTGTTTTCGGGACCAAAAGTTCAGTAGCCTATTATATACATTAAAAGCATTTCAAAAGGTTTTGTCACATGGCAAAAAAACTAACTCCAGAGGTGACCTTTCTCTGAAGCGGCTTCCCCTTGTTTCATTTTGTAGATCCAGAACTTCTCATCTCTTTATTACCTTCTTAAGTAGGTGATTTTTTGGGGTGAGAAGATCACACAATATTTGATTAAATTTGAGTTGCAACACAGAAAGGAAATAAAGTATCTGGTCAGGTGGATATTAAAAGAGATGGACAGACTGTATAGCAGTCTCATTAAGTTTTAACATCAAATGGTTTCTGGCTGTACTTTTTTTGTAACATCAAACACTGACTAAATTTAACGAAACAAAACGTCATGAAATGTATTTATTAGTTTGACAACCATCTGAATAGTTCTTATTTGCTGCCGGTCACCACATAAATCATAGCCTCTTACGACCTCTTGTGGACGAATCACATAGCGATATTGATTAATGCTCTAAACGTGACATTGTACACAAGTTAAAGCTGCTCTGTGCCAGCTCAAAATTCAGTGTAAAATATAGATGCCGCATAAAAACCAGACTAAAGTATGCCTGCTCTGAGCCACAGCACACGTCTGCCAGATGTCTGTTAAAGATCGCTTCATCCGGAAAGCTTCTGCTGTGTACAAACATCTGATAGACGTCTTTAAGATGTCAGTGTTACGTATTCTAAATCATAAACATCTTATAGACATCTTCTAAACGTCTATTTGCCATCTGATAGGAAACGTCCTATAGACGTATTGCAGATGAGCTAACACTCTAAAAAATACGTCTTGCAGATGTTAAACAGACGTCTCCGTGATGTACGTGTGCTATCAGGGCGCTAGCATCACAGTATAAAGCTGTGTAAATGCATTTAAGCCACCTCTGAGCAGCATTAAATAGTCTGTGTAAAGACACCTTGATAAAGTGCTTTTATGCCCCCACATTTCCAGTAAGCAACAAGTCAGAAAATAAATTACTTTTATTTCTAGTTATATTTTTTAGAACAGTCGATAGATATTTTACACTTATTAATTCAGCAGGTGTTTTATTAAAGCGGCTCAATTTCACTGTTGCATATTATTGGCTGGCACAAAATTTTTAGTACAACTCTTGAGCACCATCTCGCAGAAATGTGCAAATATTGTGGACGGGCTATTTACAAAAGTGACAGCAGAAAATACAAAATGCAGTATTTTCCTAGAGGTACAAATGCACTGCAAATATTTACATAGGCTAGTTGACATTTTTCAGATTTGTGGTGCTCATATTAACAGGACTCTTCAGAAGAAAGCAACACGTTTTACTTGTCTAAAGGAGATTAACAAATTACATAACACCTGCTTGAATGATCACATAGTATTAAACTATTTCTCAAGCACAAAACTATGCCCGGTTGTATGTATACTGCGCCAGCGACCTCTTATGGATTAAGTTTCTATTGATATATATATATATATATATATATAGATAGATAGATAGATAGATAGATAGATAGATAGATCAGCGGTATTGTCGGTTATATAACATTCATGAAAAATATCACAAAAAAATAATCAAAAATATAACATTCATGTTCACCTGTTTACCCAACAGCTATCATATATATATATATATACAGTGGGTACGGAAAGTATTCAGACCCCCTTAAATTTTTCACTCTTTGTTATATTGCAGCCATTTGCTAAAATCATTTAAGTTATTTTTCATACATAGTACATTTACCCAGGGTAATTCAGAAAACAAGTCTCAGTTTCATAAGTTCTAATGTATTTTATATTTTAGTCTTTGACAAGTTACATTAAAGGTTTTCAAAACTTTGCATGCATATTTATGACCCTAAATGAAAAATATTCTCAAGATTTCAAGAAAAAATTAATAGTTGAACCAGTATTTCGAGCAGTGAAAACGTAGAGTGTGGATCAAACTGACCGCAACAAAACAATTTATTTAATCAGAGTACATGGTTACTTTTGAATGGCCATCAATGGAGAAAGATGCTTTTTGTTGATATAATGGTGTAGTTATGACATCTACCAGCAGGGGCTAATGATACTAACCAGGACAATATTTGCTTTTAATACAATTCAGTTATATTAGATTGGCCAGTGGAGGAATCCTCACTTTAAATATGTACTATTTTGTCTATAATATTCTTATTCTTATTTTTTCTCTGTATTCATTTAACCAAAAGAAGACTGTGCCAGGTCAGGTGAACAGATTTTAACATCCAGATGCTTGAACATCTGTTACAGCTAGATAACACAAATTACAACCAGTTTTCAATAGTTATCAGTTGCGCTCCATATGAGCTCCAGGCACATTTTGTACCCTAAATCCTCACCATTTAAAACAAGCTTCAATGATTGTTCTTTATTTTCCCTTATGACAGTATTGTTTGTTGTGAGTTAAATGTCTGTCCTGAGGTTGGTCTGTGGATGAAGCAATATGAAACAACATTTTTTCAATCGTTCTCTTGAAATATCAGCATGGTACAATGCCAGCAAGTGGTCTGCATGTACAAAGATGTGAACATGATGTCCTGCTGATCAAGACACACATAATGAATGTTGTAATTGCATTTTTCTTTGCTTAAAAGAATGAATCATTCAAAAAATGGAAGAAGCTGCAGAAACTGCTATAAATAATGATGACACAATTGGAGTGTATTTTCCTCAGGTCCAGATTTGCCTACTTTGGCTACTCCAAGCCAGAATAAACCTGACTGTTTTTGCAAACTCTCAAAAAAAACCAACTTCCCGTTTAGATTTTAAATTTAGAGAAATTCCCTCAAACCTTTTTATATCTCGGAAAAGCTGATTGAACTGGACGAAACCGCAGCGCATGTTAACACAACGTCCAGCCCACAGACACAAAGAACGTCTCTATGTCTGGACATGACAAATAGCACCTGTCTTCAGGCGATTGATTGAAAGCCCTAGTATGGTAAAAATGCAAACTGGTTTTAGAACTTGGACACATAAATGCAGCCAGCTAAAATAACAAGCGTGTTCCATTCACCACGGGACCAAGGCAAATACAATAAACAATCATATGTTGTGTAACTTCTGAGTGACATTCTGAATTCCCGAAGCTGCTTTTGTTGAAATTTTGAACTTTTATATACAGCTACCTTTCAGGATTTGCTGATCTGTGTCTTCTAATATAAAAAGTTCACCAAGTACTTCTTTCAGTATAGTGCACTTTTCACAGCTGTTTGGATAGGGCTGCAGAGAGGATGGGCAAACTCAAAAGCAAAACAAACACAGCCTCCCCTACTTATTGGAATAGACTCATGCCTAAAATAATGAGCTAAACTAATAAACAAACTCCAGCGAAGATGTTTCTGTCTACACTAGCTGCATTCCTCCTCGACCCCTGCGTGAACTTTTTCCAAAATGCTAAACAAAGAAGAAACTGTGTTTTGTAACACGATTTTGCTAGAAACACTTGAAGCATGACTAGGCAAAAATTAACAAATAAATCAATTGTTATGCATTAAGTAAAGAAACATTAGATAGAGCAACATCAGTGAAACATTTGCATTTCATATATACAGTACTGTGCAAAATTCTTAGGCCACTAGTATTTTACCAACAAAAAATGGTTTTCAGTCAGTTATTTCTATCTTTTGCTGTAGTGTGTCAGTAGGAAATATCAGTTTACATTTTCAAACATCGCTTTTGCCATTAATTGTAATAATCCAGTGATATTTTTGTATGAACAACAGCCAGTGCTCCACACAGAGATCTGATCTCATCATCATCCAGTCTGTCTGAGATGACATGAAGAAACAGAACAAACTGAGACAGACTCAGTCCAGAAGAACTGTGTCTCCAAGACGCTTCAAAAAGAGGTTTTAGGCACTTGTGTAAAAATGCTGTAAAATGAGAATGCTGTAAAATGAGAAAAAATAATGTCATAAATAGATGTTATTTATTAATTCACTTCTATTAACTAAATCAAATCAATATTTGGTGTGACCAGTGTCGGGGAAAGTTACTTTTAAAAGTAATGCATTACAATATTGCGTTACTCCATAAAAAGTAACTAATTACGGTACTTTTTATGGAAAGTAATGCGTTACGTTACTTTTGCGTTACTTTTTAAATCTGGACAGGGCTTGCTTGTTTGTTTTTAAAATAAAAAAAGTTATATTTTTGGCAAATATAAAAGCCTTTTCACACCAAAAGTGAAATGAATAAGCCTCAGGCTGAAGGGAAAGTCAATTTACGTCCGTACAGTAGAATACAGAAGAAGAAATTTCAACACACTTCAGCAATAAACAAAGACACACAAATGTATGTCTAGAGTCATTTTTGCTTATTAGTATGATTGAACTGGATCATCTTAGGTCAGGAGCAAAGACATTGGTTAATAGAATGGGATTAAATACATAAAGGATATTTGTGTTGTTTAACATTTAATTATTGCAGGTTTGCGTCATATTCTGAGTTGCATTTTTTAAATTAATTTTTGAGGAATACTGAATCTGTGTTTTTTTGTGAGTCAGTGAGAGGAATTAATGCATATTCACATTTATTTTTGTAGCACCTTTATTTTTAAGAGTGCAGAGCCAAACACTCTCAAAATCTTTAATTCAAAGGTTTATATCACGGACACATCGAAGTCAAATATCCTGACACTGATACCATAACACAGTTTACAACACGAGCCAGAATAAACCTGACTGTTTTCGCAAACTCTCAAAAAAACCCAACTTCCCGTAGAACTACAGTAACATCTTC